GTCCAGGTAGACAATATCCTCATCTACCAGGCCAGTTTCATCATAGAAGTTTATCAAGTTGGTCAAGCATGACTTCCCCTTGATGAAGTCATGCTGACTACTCCTGATTATTTTCTTGTCCTTAATGCACCTGGAAATGTTTTCCAGGTTCAGCTGCTACATCACTTTCCCAGAGACTGAGGTGAGGCTGACCGGCCTGTAGGTTGCTGGGTCTCCCTTCTTGAAAATAGGAGTGACATTTGCTTTCCTCCAGTCTTCAGGCACTTCTCCCAATCACCATGATTGATTGATCAAAGATTATCAAGAGTGGCCTCACAATGACATCAGCCAGCTCCCTCCTCACTCATGGGGGCATCCCATCAGGGCCCATGGATTTACAGGTGTTCAGTTTGCTGAACCTGATCCTCTTCCACCAAGGGTAGATATTCCTTGTTCTAACCTTTCCCCCGGTCTCGTGGGACCTGGGACTCATGAAGGCTCATCTTGCTAGTAAAGATTAAGACAAAGAAGGTATTCAGTACCTCAACCTTTTCCATGGCCTGTATCGCTGGTTCTCCCACCTCATTGATCAATGGGCGCAGATTTTCCTTAGTCTTCCTTCTATCTTCTATGTATTTATAGAAGTCTTTCTTATAGTCTTTGACATCCCTAGTCAGATTCAATTCCATTTGGGCTTTAACTTTCCTAACAGTCCCTGGATGCTCAGGCAATGTTTCTGTATTGCTCCCAGGTTACCTGTCTTCGCTTCTACCCTCTGTATACTTCTTTTTTGTGTTTGAATTTGGCTAGGAGCTCTTTTGTTCATCCATGCGGACCTCCTGGCATTTTTGCCTGACTTATTCATTGGGATGGAACTCCCTTGAGCTTGGATGAGGTGATCTTTGAATATTAAGCAGGTTTCTTGGCCCACCCTTCCTTCCAGGGCCTTATCCTCTTCCAAGCAGATCTTTGCAGAGACCAAAATGTGCTCTCCTGAAGTCCAGGGTTGTGAGCTTGCTTTTCACCCTCTTCCCTGCTCTCAGGATCCTGAGCCCCACAATCTCATGGTCACGGCAGCCATGACTGCCTTTGACCTTCACATGCCCAACAAGCCCCTCCTTGTTGGTGAGTAGGAGGTCCAGCAGAATACCTGTCCTCATTGGCTCCTCTATCACTTGGAGGAGGAAGTTATCATCAGTACAGTCCAAGAACCTCCCAGATTGCTTCTGTCCTGCTGTATTACCCCTCCGTCAGATAGTGAGGAGGTTGAAGTCTGCCATGAGAACCATGGCCTGCAAACTTGAGGCTGCTCCTATCTGCCTACAGAGGGCCTGATCCACTTGTTCTTCCTGGTCAGGTGGCCTACAGCAGCCACCCACTATAATGTCACCTTTACCTGTCCTCTCTTTAATCCTAACTCATAAACTGATCTCAGTTGTCTCCTCATCCATGCCCAGGCAGAGCTCCATGCATTCCAGCTGCTCTCTCACGTAAAGGGCAACTCCCCCTCCCCCCCCCGCCCCATATTCCGATCCTGTCCCCTCCTTTGCAGCACTCCAGTCATGGGAGCCATCCCACCACATCTCCATGATCCCAGTAAAACTGTAGCCTTGCAACTGCACACAGATCTCTTAACTCATCGTGTTTATTCCTCATTTGGAGTGTGTTGCTATACAGACACGTCAGAAAGGCACCCAGCATGCTGACTTCCTAGAAAGGGTTTGGGGCTTTCTCCATAATGGTGCCTTGTAGGCAACTTCATTGCTTACATGCAAGTGCTGGAGGTGACCCTGCCTAAGCTCCATTTTGTCGATTTTGTGATCCCTTCTTGTCACATCACCCCCTGCCCTTCGCTCAGCAAACCTGTCCATCACTCCCTCCCTCCTCTGTCATTCTTGATTCAAAGCTCTCCTAACAAGATCATCCTGTTGGCAAAAGTAGCTTTTCCCCACTTAGTGAGGTGGATTCCACCTCTCCCAAGCAGACACTGATCTGCAAACAGGGTCCCATGGTCATAGAACGCAAAATCCTGTTGCCAACACTGCTTCTGCAGCTAATTATTGACTTGTCCTATTAGTGCCCTCCTCCTCACTTGCTTTCCCCTCACCAGCAGGATTGAGACCACCATGCCCAGACCACTGGGCCCCCATGCCCATGATTACTGCCCCCAGAGCTCTGTAGTAACTTTTGATACTGTCCAGGTTTCCCCTGGCAGTATCACTTGCACCCACATGGAGTAACAGCGGGGGGTTGTAGTCAGAGGGCCGGACAACCGTCAGTACTTTCTCCACAGCATCCCAGATCCTGGCCCCCAGAAGGCAGAAAGTCTCTCCAGATGATTGGTTGGGCTGACAAACGAGTGCCTCTGTGCACTGCAGAAGGGTGTCACTCATTACAATGACTCAACATTTATTTCTGGTAAGTCTTGCATGGTTTAGGGTTGGGTGGACCAGGTTCTTTGCTGGAAGGCACATCTAGCTTCTCTTCAACTTTGAGGGCAGTGAACTTGTTTTGCAACTGTAAGCCCTTAGGTGGGGCAGGAACCTTCCTTGAAGAAGTCACCAGCTTCCATCCTTCCCCTTCTCCAGAGGTTTTGCTTACCTTGTAGTGCAAGGTAGATGCTGCCTGCTTCCCTGTTGCAGATGGGATCTGAGGCTCTTCAAGCTGTAAAGTCTCAGAGAAGAACCTCTCCATCTCCGATGTGGTGGAGCCTGCTCACTTCCTCCTGGAAGTCCTCCATTTGGCAGCACAGCTCCTCTAAGACAGCACACTTCCTGAAGGACAGCGGGCCATTTCCCCTGGCCTCAGAGAGATGCCAAGCACTCCCTGCAACCTGGGATTTGGAGGGCTGCATCAGCCATCTGTGTGGAAGCTGTGTTGGATTTGTGTGGCAAGGTTT